CAGCATCTTAGCTGTGGAGGGCAGTGTCACTGGCCCTCATATGTGGGATCCGAACCGGGGCCCTCTGGCATCCCAAGCCAGCTCTTAACCATCGTGCCACTCAGCTGGCCCCATTCAAAGCTTTTGAAGCACTCAATACATTGGGATGGTTCTGTTCCTACTGGGGTTGATGGAGGTAGGATGGTAACAACACTTTTCCAGTGAAGACTCAGAGACCAGAGTAACTTGCATTAAATCACACGCCTATAAATAATGAATCCCTCCATCTGGCCGATACAATTCTCCCAATATCCCCACTGCCTGCCCAAGTACTTGAAGGCTTCCACACTTCATTTCTAATCCCCAATAACCAGACAACTCAGAATGTTTAGTATATTTCTCTTCTTTTTACTTTAAAAACTGCAAAAACTGGCATGGATTTCAATATCTCCACCCCTCCAAACATCATTTTACATTTCTCAGACACCATCATTTCACCTTCCCTTAAAGTCCTAGATGAAAATCGCTGAGAAGCTGCAGGAGGCCCACAGATAGGAGGATCCCCAATTCAGGCCGCTTCAGCAAATGAAGGCATTGAGGGAATAAAGTAGGGGAGAGGAGGCTCCTAGCTGGCCCTCTTCAGCTCTGTCTCACAGACCCAGCGATAGGGCCTCTGGCAGACATTATCATTCCAGTGGCCATCATCTCTGAAGTGGACACAGTCTTCACCTCCTCCAAGCCCATGTCCATACCAGTCATCCGGCTGATCTGGACTCCAGTTCCTAAGGAGACCAGACTGATGTGAATCCCAGGAGGCCAGACTCTCAGCCAAGCCCAAGGAACCCTTTGAGCCCTGGGGCCCGCCCAGCTGGCGCGGCAGGGCCCAAAATGAAGGGACAGTGTAGCATGCACACACTCACTTGAAACCTGTCTCATAGTCTGTTCCATCCACCCATTTCCAGGACCCATTTTGATCAGTGAGGCCGATCCAAGTGTTCATAGAGGACGTGTGTTGTACAACAAAATTCTAGAGAGAGAGGAAGAAAGTGATGACATCTTAGTATACCAGCTAGCCTCTCAGACAAGCCCTCCAGAGACCTCACCTGTTCCTCTCTGGAGTTGATGACCACCAAGTGCGCGTTCTTCAGCTGGCAGTACTTATTCGTCTCATTCCAGGTCTTCCCAGTACGAGAGAACCAGTAGCAGCTGTCTTCATGCTCCAGCCAGTTAGCGGGACAGCAGGTATTTTGAGTGTCTGAGGGGCCGGGGTGAGGGAGGGTCTGAGGTGCTGCCCAGTGGGATGTGGGCAGAAAATGAGGCCAGGCACTCCCCTGAACACCCCTCACCATTGCTCTTGAGAGCAGCCATCTCACAATACAGGGAGGTCAGGTCTTTGGCCAGCTGCTGGACTTGTAGGAGCATTTCGGAATAATCTGGGACACACACAGATGAGCAGTGAGGAGAGTGCAGGGAGCCCAGCCTAGTACCCTCCATGCCCTCCCACCACATCATGTCCAGGTGGAGGGGAGAAGGAGCCTCACCTTCTTTGAGTTCCTGCTGTTCTTTCTCCAGCTTGCTCTTTAGAGACAACACCTTGTCATTCAAGCTGTGGGCTGGAGGGGAGGGCGCTCAGCACCCCAGGCTGCTCCCACCCTCCTGTGTTCTGAGAGCCTGCCCCCATACCCCTTGCACACACACACTTGGAGAGTCTCTCACCTGCTTGCAGTTCGTGCTCATGGTTTTCTACCTTGGCTTTCAGAAGTGTTATGGTTTCTTGCAAACTGCCATCTGAAGTACATGGGACTCAGTGCTGGACAGTCAGCTCCCACCCCCTTCCCCACCACAACCCATCCCAGTCCAGAGCCCCTTCCAGCCAGGCTCACCCTGGGAGTGCAGTTCCTTAATCTCAGCCGTAGTGTTAGAAGTGACATTGCTGAAATTTGTTCTCAGAGTCATCAGGTCCCTCTGAAACTTGGAATCTGGTCAAGTGGATGAGACAATCAGTGCTGAGATTTATCAAGCCCTCCCTGAGCCAGCACTGAGCAGGACACTAGACATGCATTGTCTCACAGGGTCCTCACAGCCACCCAATCCAAAGGGACAGGCACTATTGTTATCCACGATCTCAGATGAGGAGACGAAGGCTTAGAGAGTTTTGGTAATTTGGCTACATTACCCACAAATAAGTGACAGAGCCAGCAGCCACCCTTACCCATCACGATAGCCACTGGTGCCCCCATCATTGTACCCTACTATTGCCCTTATCCCTGTGACCCTGTGACTCTCACTTTCACTGTGACTGCGGGATCCGATCACGCAGATGCCGACCAGCAGGAGAAGGCTGAGGCCCAGGCAGAACAGGAGGGGGCGGGCTCCAGAGCAGAGATGCTGCAGGAAGGGCTGGGGAGGACACATCCCTGCAGGAGGAGAAGAGGTCAGGACAAGGAGTTCCAGGCCATGAGAGAAACAGCACAGGAGGAAATGGCCACAGGGACCTGTCACGGATGGAGGCTGGTGCAGGTAAAGCTTGGGGGAGGCTGAACGAGGAGGATTGTGGGCAGGGGATGTCAGGCCTCTGACCCCTCATGGAACATCACAAGTCCTTAGTTACATGGTCCCCTCACACTCCTGAGGACACACACACACACACACACACAAGGACACGCAGACAAGGGACGATGGCGATATGTAAGGTCCTATCATCAGGGCTGGGAGAGGGGACAGAGTGAATTCTGGCAGCCAGGCCCTCAGCAGGCTCACACTCATTTGTAGTGTCAGGTTACCAAATGTTTCCCTTCCAAACACAGCTATCCACTCCCCCATCAGTAAATAGTCATGTCCTCCCCCAGAGTACAGGCAGCCAGGCCCACTGTGGTCCCCCCTGTCCCTGTCTTTCTAAGGACCTTGAATCCTCTTCATACTGGAGCTCCCAGGGGCTGGGGGCTGACCCCCTCAGAGTGGCGACCCCACCACTGCACATGGTAGAGGTGCATACACGACACCACAGCAGAAATCCTAAACATATTAAGAGAGAATTTTAGGAGACATCGTTTCTCTTGTCCTCTTACCATTTCTAAGCCACCAGCTCTTCTTGTCACTCTCCACGGAATGGAAGTTTTCATACTTCATTGACATACTTGAACTAAACTGTGAGGCTGTCAGAGCTGAAATGGAGACAGGGCCAGCGCTAAGCTGGTGCTGGTGTTGGGGCACAGGGAGGTTGGGACTAGGTTGGAGCTGAGGTCAGGGCTAGAGTTGAGGTAAGAGTTGAGGTTCAGGTTGAGAATGAGCCAGGGGTTAGGGCAAAGAATGGGAATGAGCCTCGATTTGCAGCTGTGATTAGCAGAGTGTTCAAGAATGGACTTTGGGCCACGTAGAGCTGAGCATGGGATTGGAGGTGGAGGTCAAACTGCAAATAAATGTATTGCTAAGACGGGGACTGACGTTGGGGCTGAAATTGAGGGTGAGCCTCCTGCTAGGACTGGGGTCAGTACTCATGTTGATGCCATGGATGGAGTGGGGCCTAAGCTTGGAGCTGAAGTTGGAAATAGAAGAGAGTTGGGGTTCAGCTTTGGGTTGGAGCTGATGTTAAGATTGAAGTTGACCCTGGAGTTGAAGCTGTGGTTGGGGGTTAAAGGAGGAGCTTGGGTTCGTATTGGGGTTAGGCTGGGCTGGGATCTGAAGTTAGGGCTGGAATTGGCGAGAGATGGGGCTGAGTTTGAGTCTCAGTTTGTGACTGAAGATTGGCTGCCATACTTCAACCCGAATCCAGCAAAAGGAATAGAGTCTAAAATCTCCACTCAGTCATTAGATCTTCAGGCTGACCCTTATGTCTCTTTCCATTCAGTCCCACCTGAGACCAACACTCCCCTCTCCCTGCTTTCGCTAACTCCCTCCCTGTCCCCTTGGTCTCACCTGCATCCCCAGCCCAGTTACCTGTGCAAATTCTGAAGGCTGTGATTCTTTGGTTCGTTGTGCAGCAATGAGCAGAGTTGAAAAAAACTAAATCTTGAACTGTGATATCGAGGTGACTGAGAAAAGAGTCACATAAGCGCTGAGGTCCTGCTGGTCTTTGTGTCTGAAAGTCCAGAAGTCTGTAATCCTGGATCTTTCTTTTTCTCAACTTTGAGCAATAAATAATAATCAGAACACAGGCAGAGGCTGTGTGACTGGGGGAGTTAGATATGGGAACAACTTTGCTCTCCTCCTCTAGGGTGTGTCTCCTTTATTCCTGCTTCTTTTGAGCTCCCCTGACTTCCTCATTTTTACCACTGGGGGGAGGGGAGCTTTCTCATAAGGGATCAGAGGTGAATTGTGTTGTTTCTTTTTAGCCCCACACCCTCTTTCACTTCCTGTATCTGAATTTCGCAGAATTGTTGATATCTCCATCATTGCACACCCGGGTCCAGAGGAGCCTTATTCTGTTCTTGCTCAATTGTGACACGTGTCCCTAGTATTTGAGATTCTCCTGGGACCTCAGCCACCAAGCTCCTACAGCTCTTGCCTAGCTCTACTCACCCCACTCAGAAGGAGGGAAGATGATGAAGGACAGTAGGTTTCCTGGCCAAAATGAGACAGGAGAAGCTGGGGACAGGAGCAAAAATTAATTGAGCATCAAATCTGCTGCCCATTAGCCATTCAATTCCCACAAGAACTATGGGAGACAGTTTGGATGATGAGCTGAGGCTCAGAGCCATTGCTTGACCTATCCAGGATGACACTCGAAAGAGCCAGAATTCAAGCTCGGTGCTGCCCCTACAACCTGGCCTGGGATCTCTGCATGTACTGTCTTCATGAAAGAGTTTTGATTTAATCCTGCAGACTCTGTAAATCCCTCTAAGGGGGCTCCACTGAATTTATACATACAATCTTTTCAACAAAAAGGAACTTTCTTGTCTTAAAGGTAGAGAAGGAAAAGTAATACATTTTAGATTATATTTTCCATATAAATGTAATTGTGTTGTGCTACCTGCTTTTTTGTATTCAATTAACAATGTATCAGGACCATTTCCCCATCAGCTTATAAAATGTATTTTATTTATTTATCATCTTCATTTCATTTCATAATATGCAACATAATTTGTTTACTAAGCATTTCCTTATTTTTTTTTTTAAAGATTTTTATTGGTGAATTGGGGGTGATGGGAACAGTGCTGGGGAATTGGGGGAAGGGGGACAGACAAGTTGCTGTCGTTTTGTTCTTCAGTCTAGTTGTGGAGGATATTTCTTCACTGGCCCAAGTTGGCACCATCATTGCGCTCTTCCTGGGTGAGGCAGATCAGTCACCGGCTTCTGGAAGGCCGCTCACGCTGGCTGCTGGCTACACACGGTAGCCCATGGCAACCCACTGCCACAGGGACTGCAGCCCACGCCGTCGCCGGCGACTCACAGCAGCCCAGCTCCAGGTTGAGCCATTGTTCAGCATCTTAGCTGTAGAGGGCAGTGTCACTGGCCCTCATATGTGGGATCCGAACCGGGGCCCTCTGGCATCCCAAGCGAGCTCTCAACCATCGCGCCACTCGGCCGGCCCTAAGCATTTCCTTATTGATGGACATTTATGTTGTTTCCAGTTTTGTTTTCTTGTCTTGCTTTTATTTGTTATTTGGTATTCAGATCAGTATTTGTCATAGGTTGGGTTTTTAGAAATGAATGCTGAGACTGAAGTTGGGGTGTGAGCTATTTATTAGGGATCAAAATCTGGGAAAGGAAGGGGAAAGGAGTGGGCAGAAGGAGAAGTTAAACGGCTGTGAAGACCCAACAAAGCTTCAGCCAATGCAACAGGGGGTTCTGGGAATTTAAGCAGCATTGCCTGTTGGAGCTGTCCAGCACTTGGGCTGAATCTGGGTCCTTATAATCCTACGTTACACAGTCACTGAATGAAGGCCAGGGGCTGTCAGCACAGGTCACAATCCCCACACTGGTCACCAAGTCCTTCTTAAAGGAATATTGGGTTTGCGTAGCTCATCTCTGTGTCTACCACAGCACTCCATTGTATTCCCATATTGATTTGGGCATAATTAACATTTTTGCATTGTTGAATCTTTCCCACAAAGAACATGGTATGTTTCTCCATTCACTCATACATGCATTTATGCATCTATTCAACAAGTACTTAATGAGGGTCTACAATATGCCAGGCATTCTCCTTCAGAAGAGGCATAGTTCAGATGTGACCCAACAGAGAAAAGACACCACCTTAATAGAACTTACATTCTGATAGATGACAAATAAACATAAACAAGTAAAATATATATAATATCACATGGTGATAAGTGCTATGGAGGAAAATACAGCAGGTAAATGAAATGTGGTCAATTTTTAATAGGCTGTCAAGAATAGGGTGTCAAGAAAGGTCTTACTGGGAATGTGATAAGTCTGAAGGAGGTGAGGGAGCAAGTCACAAGAAGTTCCAGGAGGAAGAGTTCCAGACAGAAGGCACAGCAAGTGCAAAGGTCCTGGGGTGAGAGCATGTCGGTGCATACAAGTATCATCCATTTGCTAGAGATTTTATAGAGTGCTGAGCTAGAGAGAAGAGGAGACAAGTCACAGAAGGAAAACATGGAACATCAATTCTTTAGGGCCTTGTAGGCTTTTGTTAAGGATTTGTTTTTACTCCAAGTTAGAGGAACAGACTTTGGAAGGGTCAGAGCAAAGGAGTGAATGACCTGACTTATAGGTTAACTGTAACTATGTGACTGTTGTGCATTTTGTGAGAAGGGACAAGGTGAAAACCAAGAATCTATGTAATGAGCTATTGTAATATCCAGGTGATAGATGATGGTAGTATATGCATGGAGGTGGTGAAAAATGTTCTGATTATGGATATATTGTGAAGGTAGAGTTGACAAGATTTTTCTGATAACTTGCTTGTGAGTTTCACACACACACACACAAAATAGTTCTCCTTCTAGTCTCCAAAATAAACTTTGAGCATTTCCCATAAATTGCTGACTCTGTAGGAAAAACACCTTATTCCCGACTTTTGCAATGCTGATGCCTAAATATGTCATGACATTTGTGAATATGTTAATCATGTGACAGAAGTACTATTTTGCCATCATGAGCAGACTGATAAAAAAACTTGTTAACCGGGACGCGGAGTAGAGTGTGGGAATGGAGTCAATGGAATTGTAATAGATAAGTATGATATCAGGTATGGGAGGGCAGTAGATGGGGGAGGGGGTTGTTTATGTGTGAAGGTGAAAAGGATAACTATTGCATTGTTCTGTACATCTGAAACTAACAATAAAAATAAAGAAAGAAAAAGAAAAAAAAACTTGCTAACAGTGGCAATCTTGAAGAATTTTCCTTTGAATGAATACATGTTGTGGTTCTGTTTGACAAGCCTGTCCTCCCAAAGTCTGATTCCCTTGCAACTTCTTTGCAAATAACCTTTTTTTCTTTCCTAAATGCTTTTGTCTCTGAGACATCTTTCACAGTTGACAATCCTAGCTTCCTTCTTCCACCAACTTTTCTATGATCTCTTACTCTATCTGAGCACCTCAGTGTGTTAGGAATTTTTTACCTGGTGGGGAGCCCCAAATTTCATTTCTACAGCATCCAAGTTCTTAGTGATCCTGTCTTTACTGATTCATCAAGATTGGCCATTGACTATGATATTACTGGACATGGGGGTGCCATATGGCACCCTAGAGAGTCTCATGGGCTGCATGCTCAGTCCTCTTTTTCCCCACTGTGAAGCAGCAGGCCCATTTCCCTTCTGAATTAAAATCAGTCACCCCAATAGTATAATTACCCCCACGCCCTACTTAAGGTATTACGGGGAACCCAAATCATCCAGTAGTCAGTCTCACCTTCAAATTTAAACAGAACCAAGGCTTTCTTCCCTGGTGCGTGGGTTCTTTCCTTGGGCTCTGGAACTTCCAAAATCCAATGACCCCATTGTGCAAATAAAAAGCAAAAATTCCTTACATGGATTCTTAGGTATCAGGTGAGAGCAGACACCACCCTCGTCTGTCTCTTGTTTGTGTATATGGCTGTGAGGAAGATGGCACCATATTGGCCACTAATTTAAGGTGTTTACCCACTGATAACCCAGACATGAGAAGAAAGGGAAACACAGTAAAATAAGAAGTTTACCCATTTCCAGACCCCAAGACCAGAGATAGCAATTCGATGTGTGTCTTTTTAGATATATTTCTGTGTGTATTTATATACCTGTAAGCATACACACACATGTGCAGTGGGTTGACATTCTTTTTTTTACACAAAATGTTCTCTGTAACATGTTTGTGCCTGGAAATGGTTCTTGAGGACTTTCCCATGTTGGTGCCCACCTCCTTCTGTTTAAAGGCTGCATGGTATCCAGAGCATAGATGGGCTAGACCTTATTTATTGACGCCCTTAGTAATGCATTTTGGAAATGCTGCATCTTTCCCTTTTATATGTAACGCTGAAGGGAATAAGTTTATGTATTCCTGTTTGTACTAAGAGGAAATATTTCTCTTGGTTAGCTATCTAGAAGTACTATTGCTAAGTAAAAACACTAAGCTTAATTTTTTTTTTTTACTAACATGGCAGATTAGGTAAATGCTATGTCTACTGCATCCCAGGATCACACCAAAATCACAAATAAATTATAGAACAATCAACCTCAAGAATCATTTGAAGACTAGCTGAACAAAACCCCTATAACTAAGGATGTAAAAAAGAGGCCACATCGAGACAGGTTGGAGTGCGGGAGATGCAAAATGGGCTAACCTCAAACCCAGAGATAGTGGTTGAACACTGGGAGGGACACCTCAGTGGTGTGGGTCCCCCTTGAATAGGGAGGGGTCCCAGCCCCATGCCAGGCTCCCCAACCCAGGGGTCCTGTGCTAGGAAGAGAAGTTCCCACAACATCTGGTAGTGAAAATCAGCAAAGACTCTGTTTGCCCTTCCCCATGAGATGGAAGGTGGCTAGAAACCCAGACACACTCTTGTGGAGCCTGTACACAGACTCACTTGCTTGCAGACAATCACCTGGTCGCTGGTGGAGGGGCAGCAGCTCGGGAGGCCCAGGGATGAGCAGGGAAAGACTGAGTTGTATGGATTTGGGGATGAGAGCTGAAGGGACAGGAGCCATTGTTGTCCCTGTGTGGAGCCTGACACTCATGTAGCGTATAGGAGGATGCCATTTTTCCAGTGTTGAGTCTCCTCCAAAGGGCCAAGTCTGGGACCACATTGGTCAGGTGGAATCCACATGTGTGCACCACCTGGGTCCCTGCCTCCCACACAGCTTGTTCTATATCTCCCAG